CAAATCTTCACTGGAGGCCAGACAGAAGGCCCTTCAGCGCTCGGGGCCCTGAGGTCTTGATGGCCCCGTGGCCACCACAAAACCACAGAAAGATCCAGATGCTAAGAAGGGGGAAGGGTAATTCCAAACATGGGGTTTCTTTACTCTGTCAGCCTTCTGCGAAGCACTCAGTTTTCTGCAGCTACTTAATCTGGCATCTTTCCTCCCAATGGGGTGGCCAGTTCCTTCGAGGCAGGACCTTCATGGTGAGGCTTGGGGATCCTCATCGCACATGGCCCCCAGCTGTGGCCCCTCACTTGTGATCACTGTCCACCGAACCCCAGGAAAGGGCTTTAGCATAGGTCTGCCTGGTCAGGGGCAGTGTCTATAGAGTGCCAGGGCTGGAGTGTGAAGTCCTCGCTGACCAGCTGGGGCAGGTGAGCCAGAGTGGGGAGGGCATGGATGACGTCCCCGTGGAGGCGCTCATGCCTCGCGGGCCCCGTGCACACGCTCTCTTCTTCTTGGAAAGCACTTCCCCTCTTCAAGTAAACTGGCCGTGACTTATCTCAGAAGTCACTTGGCTCCAAAGTCTTCGTGGACAGCCTCGGGGGGCCAATTAAAGAAAATCTAGAGGCCCCGCTAAAGCTCTCTGCTCAGTGATCGCCTGCCTGCCTGTCCCTGAAGATGCTGAGACAGGAGGGGTCCGTGGGACTGGACTGGGTTTCGGTGACTGCATCTCTCAGGGCCCTGCATGGAGTCGATTGGGGGGACGGTTCAGCAGGGGGTGAGCCCAGCAGAGGGTTCTCTCTCACCACCTAGCCCCTCTCCGCAAATGCCGCCCCCACTTCCCATGCCCCCCGGCAGCAAGTTCAGCAGAGATTTCTAAACACTTCTGTCCTCACGGCTGCTCCACGGTGATCAGTCTTCCGAGGTTTAAAGACAAGAAGGGTTGGAGATACCACAGGAGAATTTTTTTTTCCCCTCAGAAGGGCTCCTTCAAACAAACACGACCCCTAAGATAAGAACCCAGAAGAGATATGACCACCTCGGTGGATAACAGAAATGACCCTGATACCGCATCAGTGACAGGACCATCTGCCATGCCCTCGGTCCAAATCTCTTAGTGTTTCCAGGGCATTCTAGCAGTGAGAACGCTCTTTGGTTCTGTCTGTTCAGACTGGCTGTTCTCAAATGTGGCCCCTGGATCAGGGGCATGAGTATCATGTGGGAACTTGTTAGAAATGCAGGTTCCCAGGCCTCATCCCAGACCTACTGAAGCAAAGCTCTGGGGGCAGGGCCCAGGAACCTGAGTTTTAACAAGCCCTCCATCCAGGGACACTGATATGCACTGAAGTTTGAGAACCATCATTTTGGACTCCAGCTGGTGACTTCCGTGTTAGAAAATGCAGTTCTAGAAGGTGACAAAACTATATAAAATGCTAGCCAACTTAGTACCTGAAGTCCCAGGAATACAAATCTTTCAATTGTATTCTCTCAGATTCTGCCTTATTGTTTGTGTCTCATGTCCTCCTGTTCTCACAGCTGATGCTCAGAGATACTTGTCGATCGATATCTGGTGGCTGACTTCGGAATATGTTAATTTTTCCATCTCTAAAATGGAAGGTACTTATTCACTGATTCATTTTCATTTATCCAATTCATTCAAAGATTTATGGCCTAGCTTGAGTTGGCTCTGCCTATCAAATCAATATTTTGAAACTTTTGAAGCAATCTGCAGCATCACGTGAAGTAGTATTACTCTTTTTGTACAAACCTGACGAGGCTTTTTGTTGTTTTAGTCACCAAGTTGTCTGACTCTTTGTGACCCCATGTACTGTAGCCCTCCAGGCTCCTCTGTCCATGGCTTTCCCAGGCAAGAACACTGGAGTGGGTTGCCATTTCCTTCTCCAGGGGATCGTCCTGACCCAGGCGTCAAACCCGTGTCTCTTGCATTGGCAGGTGGGTTCTTTACCACTGAGCCATCTGGGAAAGCCCAACGGCGCTTTAGGTGTATGTTTTGATCTGTGGTGGATTACAATTCTGGGGGCAGTAAACCATGCCACTGCTGTGTTCCCCTCAGTGCATTTTAGAGATCTACAGTGAAGGGATGTCTGTCTCAAAGGCCACAGAAGGACCTTGCATGTGTGGTTACACAGCCTGTCAGGCTGCTCTGTGCTACACCAGGGTCAGTCCAGGCAGTCGAAGGCTTGTTGCTTAAGATTGAACGTGCATTCTTGGGCTGTGGTCTAAACAAAGCACAGCCTGGCCTGAGCTGCTCTGTGTGAATGAGTCTGTACACAAATGATGAGATCTGGATTGCAGAAACAACTATAACTCAAATTCAAGGGGAAAAAAAATTATTTTAAATATGACTCTAGCCGTTTAGCCAGACCCAGACTGTGGCTGAACACGGGCTCTGCCTGGACATGCATCCTAATTGGGAGGACCTGAGGAGCGCTTGCTCTCTGGCTTCCAGGGACACAGCTCGAGCCAACATGTCCCGAGGCCCAAGCTCCTCACAGGAAACTGCTGGGACAATGATGGGGCCTCCAGCCTTCAGCAGGAACCTGGGTCCTTGGACCTTGCACAAAGAGCTGGCCGAGTTCTCCATGGCCCCAGACTGACTGCCGTCGCATCCCTCCAGAGGTGACCTGCCCCTGGGGCTGTCACACTTGGTCCTGACCCTGGCCCTGGCTGGGATTCCCTAGACAGAAAAGGCAGTTTGGGGTACCTTGCTCCTTGTGCCAGGTTTGAGGAAACTGAATAGGACCTGGGGCTGTGTCCACCAGATGGGCGGGTGGCCTGGTGTAGGCGTCCACGTGTTGGGGCAGCAGGACCCAGGTGGGAACGGAATATGTGGGGGAGGCAGAGCCGGGGAGCCACTTGCTTGCTTTCAAATGTCTGGGCATCACTGGAAAGGCTTGGAGGGGAGGGGCAGGAGAGGCTAGTTGGGTCAAGGTTGGGGCTTCAGGCAGAGCTGAGCAGCAGGAATCTGAGCAGGAGGTGCCCAGATGTGCATTTCAAAGTTTACAATAGAAAATGGGGGGAGAAGCTCACATGTCATCCAATCCAGGGGTGCCAGACCTGTGCCCTCCCCTCCCTCTTCCCTCACCCAAGACAGAGGTCACTATTGGATCCTGTTAGTGACCTGGTTTTTCTAGTAGTCATGTACAGATGTGAGAGCTGGACCATAAAGGCTGAGCACTAAAGAACTGATGCTTTCAAACTGTGGCGCTGGAGAAAACTCTTGAGACAGCGAGGAGATCAAACCAGTCAATCCTAAAGGAAATCAACCCTGAATATCCATTGGAAGGATTGATGCTGAAGCCGAAGCTTCCAATACTTTGGTCACTTGATGTGAAGAGACGACTCATTGGAAGAGACCCTGATGCTGGGAAAGACTGAGGGCAGAAGAAGAAGGGGGCAACAGGATGAGATGGTATGGGGTTGCAAACAGTCGGGCATGACTTAGCGACTGAATAACAACAATGGACCCCAGCGCTCTTCCCTACTAAGCCAGTAGACATCTCCCTGTCTGCAAAGCCACAGCCAAGTCACAACTAAGAATTGCTCAGAGTCTGCAGACGAATGAAATCTCATGACCTTCCTTCATCTGCACTAATACACCAACTCTATGAATGAGGAAGACTTAACAACAACGCACTGAGTCTTCACAACAGCTCCGGGAGAGACGGGCCGTGACAGCCTCATGTGGGAGGCGAGGAGATGGCGGCCTGAGAAGGTGAGGTTCTGTTCTGAAGGGCAAAAGCTAAGTGGGGAAGGGGGCGCCTGGGTTCCAAACCCAGGCCCCCACCCCCAGGGCCACTGTTGCCTCCCACTTGCAAGAGACTCTGGTATCAGGTTCGTCACAGAATAGACCGGCAAGTACATGTTAGGATATTATATTTGCAGATTCGTGAGACTCCGCCATTACAGGATATTAAAGCCTCTCTAAGAGACCATCCAGTGAAGGTGTCCTGGCCTTTGTGAGCTCGCCAGGATGGAGTGTAAGGGCTTTTATGAAAGTCTCAGGGATGTGGCTTCTGGGGCAACGGTTTATGGTCACCGGCCTTCTGATCGCTCATTTGAAAAATATGTACTTACACAGACGGCAAGAAACCTCACCACTTCCTTCCTAAGTGTCGGTCAGGAACACTAATTACTTGACTAATTAGACTGTGAAACTTCCCTTACAGATGGTAAGAAGGACCTATTTTCACCCCACAAATTTAGCCGTGAGTGACATCCCAGCCAAAAACCTGGAGGAGCGTTTCAATGGTTTTATTGTAGACAGCATGAACAATTTAAGCAAATCATATAAAAATAAATTAGAAACTAATGAAAATAGTCTGTCCTCTCTGAAGAGGGGGAAATGACCTGGTTCTGGGGGAGGCAGGAACCTGCTGACAGGGCTGCGTCTGCTGAGCCAGGCGGGCAGGGGCCCAGCCCCGACACCTCCTCGGGATGTGGGCCGACCCGCCGCAGACAGGCCTCACTTGGCTCCTGACTTTCAGGCACTTCCTTCTCATTCTACGTGTCGTCCTGTTCCCTTTCAGCCGTTCTCTATACAGAGAGCGTCTGCTCACCCAGCAGCCAGGCCGCGCGGTCGCCCTGCAGCTCTGCACTAGCGCTTCCCACGGCCACATTCGTGCTCTTGCCAAAGGACCACTGTTGTTGTTCAGCTGCTACGTCCTCTCCGACTCTTTGCGACCCCATGGACTGTAGCTCACCAGGCTCCTCTGTCCATGGGATTCTCCAGGCAAGAATACTGGGATGGGCTGCTATTTCCTCCTCCAGATTCAGGGATCAAACCCGTGTCTCCTGCACTGGCAGGTGGATTCTTTACCACTGAGCCACCGGGGAAGCCCCTGGCAAAGAACTAGCACAGAATAAAACATCTACCACCAAGTACCGCAGCCCAGGGAAGGAAGCGGGCTCTGACTTGCGGTGGCCGCCTGTGGAAGCTGGTGCGGGGGGCACCCACACCCTGGGCCTGTGGAGAAAGAGGCTGAAACACTCACCAGCATCCAGGCTGCCCGTGGCCGCGGTCCAGCCCATGACGGGGGGGATGGCCCCCACGACCGCCCCCACCCACGTGTTGGCGATGCTGACCCTCTTGAGCGGGGTGTAGCAGCAGGTGTATAGGAAAATGTTGAAGAGGCCCAGGGCGCCCGTGAGCGGGTTCACGCCCCAGGTCAGCAGGGCGACTCCGGGAACCGCACAGCCTGTGGCGAAGGACACGGCAAGCAGCGGGCTGGAAGAGAGAGCAGAGAACACAGCGCTGTCAGGGGTCAGCTCCGGCGGCCAGCGTGTGGGTCAGAGCCGAGCATGGGCAATCGGGCCTGGGGCGGGGAGCAAGCTGGGGGCAGCGCTGGCCTGGCCTCCGCCTGGGCCCAGGACATTCTCTGGATGTCATTTAACACGAGGAGGGACTTGCCTGCCAGAGTGCGGCTGCTCCTCCTATATTTGCCAATTGGGGCTCACAAGGTGAGGAGGGTGGAGGCCTCCGAACCATGGGTTTGAAGGGAGGCCCTGCCCCACCCCTCCCTGGCCGGGGATTGTCCTGACCCCGCCACGCTCATCTGGGCAGGAGCGACGACGGCCCCCTCCTCCCTGGGCTGAGGGGAGATCCGCCTGATACGTGCCTGTTCTGCACACAGTTAGGCTGGGCAGCTGGTGGGAAGCAAGTGGTTGTGATGGATGAAGCCCTCGGAACCCAGAATTTAAGATCTGGGCACAACCAGCATCTTACTTCTGGCAGAGTTCTCCCCATTTATTTATCCTTTGTTTAAAAACACCGCCCAGTTAGCAATAATGGGTAAGACTAGCGTGTCTGAGTGCACCTCTGTGTAATAAATTACAGGCTTGACATGGACCAGCTCCATGCAGTGAGGATGCTGTCTGCAGTGACAGCACTTCCTGAGCCAGAGTGCAGTTTATGGACATGGGACTTTCAAAAGAGGTGGCACAAGGCTGTATGTCAAATAAACGTCTACAGCATAAAGATGACCGCAAGCCTGGTCCTCATCAGAGTCCGCTTTCTGAAGTGGACTTTGTGTGGCATCTTTGAAAGGCTTTGAGGGAGCCTGGATGAACTGGGTCCACCAGTACCTGCCTGTCCTCNCAGTTTATGGACATGGGACTTTCAAAAGAGGTGGCACAAGGCTGTATGTCAAATAAACGTCTACAGCATAAAGATGACCGCAAGCCTGGTCCTCATCAGAGTCCGCTTTCTGAAGTGGACTTTGTGTGGCATCTTTGAAAGGCTTTGAGGGAGCCTGGATGAACTGGGTCCACCAGTACCTGCCTGTCCTCATTCTTCCAGAAGCAATCTAAGCCGGTGCTCGAGCCTGCTTCCCCGAGGAGAAGCCACAGTTCACTCCCGGCCCCAGCATGTGCCCACGGGGACCCGGGAGTCGACAGTGCGCAGCTCCGAGGGTCTCTGGTTTTGGCGAGGCCATCAGGGCGAGGGCGGCTGTCTGTCCCCTGCAGGCATGGCCTATGCCTGGGCACTGCCCGCCTGCCTCTCAAGGGACAAGGCGAGCTGGGGTGGGCAGGAGGGCAGCAGAGCCCACCTGCCGGAGACCAGGGTGCCGAGGTGCTGACATGTGAAGGGGGTAGGACCCTCGCAGAGCCCTGGCTCCCACGCCGACCTGGGGAGCAGCACTGACCCCTCTCGCCCAGGCTATGACTGCCTGGGCCTGCAGGTGGAACTCAATGAAATGGGAGTCTTGATGGAAACAGAGAACACCCGAGGGGTATGCTGTTGTCCTGGCGACAGTGATGGAGACCTTCTAACCACACCCGAGACTTGGAGCGTGTTCAACCTGAGGGAATCGCCATCCCCTTCCCCCAACCTCCTTCGCATCTCGCATCTGTGATGCCCCCGAGGGGCCGCTCGAGCTGCCCTGTCCCCCCTCCGTCCCTCCCACCCAAAGACCCAGAGCTGGGGCTCCTCCAGGGCTCATCTCCCTTCCTGGCCCTCAGAGTGATGGTGGCAGCGCCTCTCCTGCCTCCTCAGACTCCGGCCCTTCAGGAGGCAGCTTTCGCTCTCCTGTAAGAGTGACAGATGCCCTCATCTCAACTTCTTCCCCCCATTTTCTCTCTCACTTTTCAAGGTAGACTCTCCACTTTTGCTCTTGTGTAAGCCCCTCCCTGGTCCGGCTTTTCCCTCTGCCTCCACGGCTACTGAGCACCTGCATCGTCACCTCAGTGGCCTGTGTACCGTCCCCCAAGGATCCGGCCATCCCCTCCGAGCCCCAGCCTGCCCACAGAGCGACTGTGCCCGCTGTTGTACCCCCTGCTGCCTCCCTCTCCTGCTGCACACCCTCTGGTCCCCACACCATGGAGCTGGACTCCCTGGTGTTCCTGTCGGGCAGGAAACACAGCCTTCCAGAGGCAAGGGGAGGGGGCTGCCTGGGGTCACTTCTCACACCGCTCTAGAAAGAAGACCCGAGATGGCTGAAAAGCAGGGCAAGCATTATATCTGCTCTTCTTTCAATCAGGCAGTTTATAGCTTATAAGAAAGATATTTTTTCCCCAATGGCACTCTAAAAAGCTAATTTTATTTTGGGTGGGAGAAAAATGTGGCTCATAAACATTTTTATTTTTCCTGAATTGGACCTTGTGTTAAAAAAAAAAAGGAAAAAAGACTGTTCACTCCTTCTTCAAGGGCTCTGGAAGCCCATCAATTCAAAGGTATTAGTGTTATGAAAACCCACTCCAGTGTTCTTGCCTGGAGAATCCCAGGGACGGGGGAGCCTAGTGGGCTGCCGTCTATGGGGTCACACAGAGTCGGACACGACTGAAGCGACTCAGCAGCAGCAACAGCATTATGAAAAGACCTTTCACTAAAGCACATTTGAATTTAATTGATTGAGATAGGTGATTTTACCCAGAAGTTTAGTTTCTGACCCTTGTCAGAATCACAGAGAATCATGAGGTTCAAGCTTGTGTTTAAATCTGTGCTCAGGGGCACAAATGAAAACTGGGGAGGCTGACAAGACATGTAAACAAGAATGAGGATATTTACCCAGGAAGCCATGACCATTCTCAGCACCTGGATCCTTGGGGGACCCAATTCCTGCTGGTCCAAGGAGCCGGGGTTGGCTCATGTTGTGGGCAAAGGTGCTCCAGTGGCTAATTCTGTGAAGTTTATTTTCCTGTGGTTTACTTTTCATAAGCATATATGTTTATCAACAGAGAGGTGGATAAAGAAGATGCTTTATACACACACACACACACACACACACACACACACAAACACAATGGAATATTACTCAGCCATAAAAGAGAATAAAAGAATACCACTTGCAGCAACATCGATGGATGTAGAGATTATTGTACTAAGTGAGGTAAGTCAGACAGAGAAAGACAAATACCATACGATACCATGTACACGTGGAATCTAAAAAAAAAAATGATACAGACAAGCTTATTTACAAAACAGAAATAGAGTACAGAGGTAGAAAAGAAACTTATGGTCGCCAGGGGATGGAGGGGGAGGGATAAACTGGGAGACCGGGACTGACATGTTCTCACTACTGTATGTAAGCTGGGTAACCTAAGAACCTACTGAGCAGCACAGGGAATTCTCCCCAGGGCTCTGTAATGGCCTATGTGGGAAAAGAACCTTAACAAGGAGTGAATATATGTATATGTATACCTGATTCACTTGGCAGTAAACCTGACACTAACACAACATTATAGACCAACTATACTCCAATGAAAACTTTTAAAAAAATCAAAGAAAAAGTATGTATTCTCACCCTACATTTAAGAAGGGGGGGGGGGGNAAACCATGTTATAAAAGTAACATATATTAACTTCAGAACATTTAGAACTAAATTTAGAAAATCACACAAAATATTCTAAATTAGCTATTCAAAGAAACATGTTGGTTTATATCTTTCTAGCTTTTTTCCCAATGATATGTCTACTTTAAAAACAACTGAGAATACAGTGAACTGTGGCTTTATTATTCTATTTTCAATATCTCTTAATAATTTCCCTATGCCATTAAGAATTACTGTACATCATTATTATTAATGGGGCTTCCCTGATAGCTCAGATGGTAAAGAATCCGCCTGCAATGTAGGAGACCTGCAAAGTAGGGTCAGGAAGATCCACTGGAGAAGGGATAGGCTAACCACTCCAGTATTCTTGGGCTTCTCCTGTGGCTCAGCTGGTAAAGAATCCTCCTGCAATTATCATTAATAGCTACATGGCCTATTTGGTGGGCAGGCCGTGATAAATTCAATCAGTATGTCTACTTAGTATTTTTCCATTGTTTTAATTAGAAATAATGTTGGGATGAATATGTTATAGACAGGTCAGTGTATACAGTTCTGATTATGATAAATTCTGAGACTAGGTTCCCAGGTCACTGGGGCAGATGACGTGCACAGTTTTAGGGTTTTGACTTGTACCCCAGCCTGTACTCGAGAGTTTATACTCTTTGTCTCCCTCCCAGCAGTGTATGAGAAAGTCTGTTCCCAGGATCTGTATCAACACTGGGCGTGAGATTCAAAACAAAACAAAACAAAACAACAAACTCAAACAAATTCGCTGAGACAGTCTTATCCCCATTTTACAGATAAAAACAGATTCGGAACCAGGACCTGTACTCAGATTTCCTTATGGGCTCATTCATGTACCCTGGGGGTTCCCCTCTAACCAGTACGTGGGGGACACTAGTCTAATGCCACTTACTGATCACTTCTGGGGTCTGCTGGGGTCTTTAGGCGGTGGCCTTTGGCTTGGAGCAGCCTCCTGTGGAATCACAGTTCCTTTAGTTCACACCACTGCATACGTAGCCTAACTTCCTACTGCGTCCCCTGAGATGGAAATGACTGGGAGGCACAACTTATTTTCATAAAAAGGGACAGACTTGGGATGTAATACACTGTGCAAGACAGACATGGTCTTCATCCTGGGGGTGATTATTCTGGGGTGGGAGACAATAAGATAGGCAGGACAATTGGGTGGGGAGAAAGCCGCCAGGGAGCAGGAACCCAGTTCTGGGGTAGCAGGGGTTTGGGGTGGACACAGGAGGTTCAGGGACTTTTAAGCCAAGCCTGGATAGACAGATGGGGGGCAGGCAAAGGGTGGGGAAGCGTGTTTCAGGGGTGGGAGGGGTCAGAGAGCATAGGTTGTGTAGGCCATGGGGAGGCCTCTGGGCAGAAGTCCTTTCTGCTGCTTAAATTAAGGAAGAATAGGGTCTGACCTGCTTCTGGGAAGGAGCCCCCTGCCTGC